GCGTTTGGTTGAAATAGATGAAGTAGTTTCTGAGGTATGCTCCTTAAAAAATTTAGAGGGTGATACAACGTCCACTTTTCTAATATTTAATTTGAAGCTTAGTTAAGGCTCTTTATATAATTTCATTGAACGGTACTTTATGTTTTTTTTTTTTTAATTGTCTTTTTTTTACTTTATTTTTTAAGATAGATACTATCGGTTAGTAAATTCCTTATCGCATCACGAGTAAACTCAATAGTACTTTCTGTGAGAGAGTGAAATGTTGTCCCAATAGAGAGAATGGAACGTCCCTCAAATAACAGTGTTATGTTCAAATTACTGAACAGAAGACGGTTGAAAAAATTTAAAGTTTTCATATTTGCCAAATAGTAATTGCAATGCTATTTTTTCTACCAGCACTGTATGTACGAATGTGTGTACATAAATATATACATATACTATATACTTTTAGCACAAAATTTAAAAACTTCATTTATAAATTGCTTGTTGCGTTTATAGAAACATTGTATGTGGAATATATGTTTGTATATATGTATGTATATACCGATTCGTATGTAGGCCCACATATATATTCGTGGTTTGGGTATGTATTCGGTGAACTGCCAGAGAGCGGAAACGCAAAGTCAAATAAATTGGCACCAATGCAAGCAATTAAACCTTTGAAATAAATTTGAACCAAAAAAGAAAATAAATTAATTAAATAAACTAGTGTTGATATCCCAAAATATTGGCAAAAGCGAAATAAAAAATTGCGAAAACACAAACCAAAGCGGCAAACAGAAAACCAAAGCAACAACAAACTGCCTGCGGCCTCACATTAATTAATGCTATTAAATATTGCTTTATAAACAGTAAAAAAAAATTACAGAAAAATTGATTCAAATGAGGGCACATATGTACATACATGTGCAATTAAACATAGCAAAAACAACGATTCGGTCCTCTGGCAATTGTAGAAATTTGCACAACATGTGTGCCACCAGAGCCACAGCCGAATAACTAAATATAATTAATTAATGCATATTGGGCATAATCTAATTAAAGCACAGAGCATATTTGCAATAATTATTCCAATTTTATTGGCCTAAGGAAGACGTAGGGTGATCTAAAATTTTCAATTAATTGTGGTTGCATAGATTTACTTTGCTTCCTATTTTGGATAACAATTTTAAGGACGTGTTAGAAGACGAGGTTATCGAATGTATATGTAATAGATAGTCGCCTGCCGCTCTTACATATAGTATGTTTCAGAAAAAAAATGGAGACAACAATCAACAAGGCATCTAAGTTAAAGTTCTTTGGTCAATGGTTCTTTCCCTCTTGATTGACCACGAATGCGCTCCTATCGGTTCTTTGCAACACATATTGGCGCCGATTTTAAACTCAAAGTAAAGTAAGGCATATCCTTATAGCCTTTACACAAACTAATTTTGGTTAACCGTAAAGTGAAGTTGTTCGAGATAGCATACACGCTAAAGATATCAACTGAAATTGTAAATCATCTCATTTGTGTACCAGAAACAACGATGAGTTGATGAACCGGACCGGACCTTGGAGACGGTCAAGCGTATAAACCTGAGGTTTTGTATATATACACACACATATACACTGTGACAATGGATGAAACATGATCGAAGTCAACTGAATGAACTGCACACGATGAACCCACTCCAAAGCGTGGAAAAACGCTACAGTCAGCTGGCAAGTTTATGGCGTCTGTATTTAGGAATGCGCATGGAATTCTCTTTACCGTCTTTAAGCGGAAGGACCATCAACGGCGGTTATTGCATAGTGTAATTGGACCATTTGAAAGACGAAATCGCGGCGGTATTTGAATAAAAAGAAAGTGCTGTATCACAAAGAGAATGCATCGTGTCGTAGTGTCAGTGAAAACGATGGCAAACATCCATGAATTAGGACCCGAATTGCTTCCACTTCCATCGCAAACTCCAGATGTGACCCTCAGCGATTATTTCCTGTTATCAGATCTCTCTAACGCTCTGTGGAAGAAATTTTCATCGAGTGGGGAGATAATCGCTGAAACTGTGGTCTATTTTGAAGCAAATGCCGAATCATACTAAAAAACAAGTAAGGAAGGGCTAAGTTCGGGTGTCACCGAACATTTTATACTCTCGCATGATAAAGTGATAATCGAGAACCGATTTCACCCATATTTGGTACATATCATCAGGGTGTTAAGAAAATATTATATACCGAATTTCATTGAAATCGGTCGAGTACTTCCTGAGATATGGTTTTTGGTCCATAAGTGGGCGACGCCACGCCCATATTCAATTTTTAAAGAAAGCCTGGATGCAGCTTCTTTCTGATATTTATTCCGTAAAATTTAGTGTTTCTGACGTTTTTTGTTAGTCGGTTAACGCACTCTAAGTGATTTTCAACATAACCTTTGTATGGGAGGTGGGCGTGGTTATTATCCGATTTCTTCCATTTTTGAACTGTATATGGAAATGCCTAAAAGAAACGACTCTATACAGTTTGGTTGACATAGCTATAGTAGTTTTCGAGATATGTACAAAAAAGTTAGTAGAGGGCGGAGCCACGCCCACTTTTCCAAAAAAAAATTACGTCTAAATATTCCCCTTCCTATTGCGATCCTTTGTGCCAAATTTCATTTTAATATTTTTATTTATGGCTTAGTTATGCCACTTTACACGGTTTCGGTTTCCGCCATTTTGTGGGCGTGGCAGTGAGCCGATTTTGCCCATCTTAACTTCTTATGGAGCCAAAAAATACGTGTACCAAGTTTCATCATGATATCTCAATTTTTACTCAAGTTACAGCTTGCACGGGCGGACGGACAGACGGACGGACGGACAGACAGACATCCGGATTTCAACTCTACTCGTCACCCTGATCACTTTGGTATATATAACCCTATATCTGACTCTTTTAGTTTTAGGACTTACAAACAACCGTTATATGAACAAAACTATAATACTCTCTTTAGCAACTTTGTTGCGAGAGTATAAAAAGGTATCGAAAAGTTGGAGGATCACTGTGATAGACCGGATACGCTTTCAAATGACGAAATGAGTTGAATTCCGACGTGACTTATGGTCAACATAATCGGCCAACTGAACGCACTATTCGCTACACCATCACACTTCTTGAGACCCAACTTTCATTATTGGATAATGAATTTCAGTGAAGAAAATATATCATACGTAGCTGAGAGTGTACACAAAGACCGTGGAGTATCGATTTGGTGTCATTCACAGCAACTCGGACTAACATATGGAGCGACTTTGTGCATTTTACATCGCGATCGTAAATTGAAAGTGTACAAAATACAGTTTGTGCAAGAATTTTAATCCGCTCGAACTTTCCAAGCGACATCTCATCGCACTATGGGCTCTTGAAAAGTTGCAAGAAGATCCAATGTGGTGGAGCCAAATATTGTTCAGCGATGAGATCTATTTCTGGCTCAATGGGGATAAAGAAAAGCAAAATTTGCCGCATCTGGGACGAAGAGCAACCTGGAGGGATTCAAGAGCTGCCATTTCAACCAGAAAAAAAACGATTTGGTGTTATTTGTGGGCCGGTGGAATCATCGGTTCATATTTCCTTAAAAATGATGTCGGTCAGAACGTAATCGTCAACGGGAATCGTTATAGCGTCATGATAACCGACTAGTTTATGTCTGAAATTGAAACTCGGCGCTTCGTTGACATTTGGTTTCAATCAATGGATTTATAGAGAGAACACTGTGATAACAAACCGTTAGACTTTTTCTTGAAGGTATATTTAAAGTAGAAAGTCTATAACAATCTCGCTTTGATTCAGAACTTGGAGTAAAACATTAAGTGTACCATTTGCGAGTTACCAGTCAAAATGCTGGAACGAGTCATCCAAAATCGGACTCAACGAGTGGACTATCTGAGACGTAGCCGCTGCGAAAAGATAATCTTCAAAAAGTAAATGCCAAATAATGTTTTTTCGAATGATAATGAAATTTTCGCATTAAAATTAAAGTTGCCATTTTTTTTTTTTTAAGTAGGGAACATCGACTTTTCAGCGCAATAAATTAAAGGTTAAACAAATCAGAAATATTGAATCAAAATCAAAAATAAAAAATAAGAAAGATAATACTTTCAACCGTAATTGCAGGCAATTATTAACTGTTTTAACTCACTTAATAGACTGTCAGAGAAATATGTTGTCAATCAACATATTCAAATATAATCGAATGAAATCAAATACAAAAGTCATTAAACAAAACAAATGGAAAAACAAGAGAACTTTTGGTGCAAATTTGCATACAAAATAAATACAGAGAACAAAATTGGAAATTTATAAAATGTGGATATGCTTTTATGCACCGAATCTACGCTTGGTTGATACTAAGGAATATTTATGTGCAACTGTGCAAATGATATTTGTAAAACTCGATATACATAGGAATATTTAAAATTGTTCATCTTCCGTATGTCTATACAAGACTGCTCAAATGTTGACACACAATTTGCCATTTATCGAATTAAATTTAAAAATTAATTCGTTCAAAACAAACAAAAATCTATTTTATCAGAACAATTAAAGTAGCCTTAGGATAACATGCGTATAAATAAATAAATGCAAATTTACTAGTACAGATTTACTAATTGAATGAAATATCTGAGATAAGCTGATTTTTCGATATAGCAATTTTACATTTGGGGAGTCGGGAATAAGTCGGAAAATCATACTCGCCTTAGCTGAGTAACTTGACAGCTTGATTGCGGTTCGTGTGATGAGCTCAGTGGTTCATTGGTTCAAAGCTCAGCTAAAGCAAGCTAAAAAAATATGAAAAACTCGTTTCCTAGTGGATTTTTCTCATGGCGGCCGTAAAGCTCTAACTCCGAATTAGAACATTTTTACCTCAAATTTCACTTTATTTATATGTAGTGCTTTTGATATTCAGTTTTCGAGATCATCTACGTAGGATAGTTCAAAGATAAGTTAAGTTTATTGTTTAAAATTATAGATTAGAAACTTACCACCTTGTGTAGAAAGATTTACTGCTTCTGAAATGAAATTTAAAATATATGCAAAGTTAAGAAAAATTTATACTTTTTTACATGATATTTTGTTTTTATGTACTAATATATAATATTATAACAAACAAGACTACTGAGTCGACTAGAGTTCAATTGAAATTGAAACAACTCAACTTTTGTCAATAAGAACTACAACCAATTTCAGTCGCAATACTTTCTATATTGTTCTATTTGTTCCATATACCAAGTGCACTGGTATGAAATGCGAGTTAAAATACAAATGGGTTAGTAGAGAATATTTGTTGTGAACGAGCTTTAATTTTTTTCTGTTTGTCGACATAACATTGGTCGAACATATTCAATAACCTCACAGTCATTGAACAAACAATATCATATTTTCATCATTGTGTTGAGAATGCCAAATTTTGTACCGAAAAGTGATTATATGTGAAAAACTTTAATTTCAAGTTTCCAGAGAGATACTGCAAAAGGTACCATAGAACGCTAGTCAAGTGATCATGCTCCGTCAGAAGCAACATGCAAAAGATAATTTCAATGGATCTGAGATAATGATATTGATGTGAGAAGTGAAGAACGTGGAAGACCACTATACAAGATTGAAGACGCCGAACTGCAAGTAATGTTGGATGAAGATGATACTTTGAGTCAACAGCAAATGGCAGCCCTGTTGCACAACGAACAATTTCAGACCGTTTGAAAGCTATGGGGAAGATACAGTTTTGCATCGAATTGTCATTGGCGATGAAAAGTGAATTTAATTTAAGAATCCTTTCTTTTTTATTGGCGTAGACAACGCTTACGCGGTTATAGCCGAGTTAACAACAACGCGCCAGTCGTTTTATTTTTGCGCAATTTGGCGACAATTGAGAATTCTAAAAGTAACCAATTCATTCTCCACCTCCTTTTTCCAACGGTCTCCTCTGCTTCACCTGGCGACTACTGTGTGGAGTATTTTCAAAGCTGAAGGGGTTTCATCCATACGGATGCATGACCTAACCAGCGTAGCCGCTGTCTCGTTAATTCACTGAACTATGCCTTTCGTCTTATAACTGTAAGTCTCTTTGTTCCTTCGAATGCGATATTCGCCGCAAAACCTTTCTCTCGAACCTCTTCACAATATAGCAGGACGAGAATAATGAGTGACTTATAGAGTTTGATCTTTTTTTCCGTTGGGAAAGGATTTATTATTATTATTATTTTCTCAAGCAGTAGATTGAAGAAGTGCCACGATAGATAGAAACCTCGTATGGTATTGATCGGCTTGGAGAGGTCTTTCCAGATCCTGGCGGAGGTTTTGGTTTTGCTCATCGTCAGTTTACATAGCCGTATTAGTTTTGCGAGGATACCGTCTTTTCACGGGTCTTTTCTAAGATTTGGAGCATGGTAAATATCTGGCCAGAAATTTATTCTCCAGCGCTAAAGCCACACTGGTAAGGTCCAATCAGTTTGTTGGCGGTGAGCTTGAAATCTTCCCCACAATACGCTCGATAGAGCCGTTTATGCGATGTTGAGGAGGCCTTTCTCCTGTTGGATTTGTGCAGACTGTGGGACTCTGTTTTTGTGAATTGGCCATGGCACACTTAAATTCCATACGTCGGGCATGCTTTCGTCCTACGTCCTCCTTTTTTGGGACACATTTCACAATTAATCGTGTTATTGTCGGACAAAAGTTCAAAATAAATGATCACTTTGAAGTCCTATCAAGCAGAAACATAACCTTATTTTGATGATCTATTTCCCTTTTTTCCAGTCTATGATTTTATACGCTTTACATTGGACTTTTCATCGATTCAAAAAAGGATCACTGCTTTGATGGGGTATTTTAAGCAAATTGTTCAGAATAATGCGTAGAACATTTCCCATATACGCGTTTTCATTAAAAAAGACCCGCTCTAATTTGGTATAGATTATTAAATATATAAGTAACTGTAATTACGCACGCTATCATATATTTATTCATTTATTAATAACGCTCGTAAACTACACCACTCGAGTGATAAAATCGTACAAACAAATACTTATATATATATATATGTGTACATACAGACAAGTACCTACAGACATACATTTACAGTTATTCATGCCTGAATACACATTTTAAACAGCCGTAATAATAGTAATAACAACAAAATCGTTATATTCAGCGATGACGCATATATTTATCACCTGCAAACTCATTTAAACACCTACAAACGCAGCTATTTAATATATATACATTTATGTCTGTAGGCATGTAAATGAATTATAATTTATGTATGTAAGTACATATTTACAAACGTCAACTCATTTCACACCTCAAAGGCAAGAAAGCAGTTGAATAGGCAGTAAAAACATGTCGTCGTCGACGGCACCAGCAGCAAAATTGCTCGCTCACACACATACACATGCACAAATGTGATTACAGACTTGCATGCATGTATATTGCTCGTGGAGAACATTTTTCATTCCATAAATTCACAGTAACATTGCGCTCATCATAAATGTCGAAATCAGCGTCAGCGCCACTGTCGACGTCAGCGTCAGTGTCAACCCGGCAATGGCTTTGTAAATGGCAAATGGCTCACGTCATTCATGAAAAATGTTGCTGCTGCTGCAGTCATCAAATGTTAAAGTGCAAAAGCAAGACGGGCGGCGGAAGGGGCGGAAGAGGCGAAAAAGCAAATGTTGTTGCAACATTATAATGAGAATAATTAAATTTCATTCAAATGGCTGGCTGAAAAAGCAGGTATCTGACTACTGGAAGGAAGCAGCTGCCAAGCTGCAGTTGAGAGGCAAGCACATTCAGTCACATATTCATGCAACAGCACACACACACACACACCAGCGCGCATAAGACAGTTCATTAGTTGTAAGTTAGTCAATCAGTCAGTCAACTCTGCAACCGCACCACCACTACAGGCGCGTGAGAACTTATGCATATGTCTATGTATGTGTTTGAGCTTTGTAGATGAAGTACGCATCAGTCAGTTAATTAAGCATAGAAAATTGTGCAGTGCAAATTAACATTTTCCACACACAAGCACTTGGACGCACGCACGCACGCACGCACTCACGTACGCCGGAAGAGCGTGCCCGTGGCAAAACTTTACCCGCTTTTTCCGCACAAAACAGAAATTAATATGAAATGCGGTGAAAGAAGAGGCAGAAAATATGAAAAATATTGAAATTAAATTCTGCCTCTGCGTTTGTAATAAAGCAACAGCGGCAACAGAGAGCAGCAGCAGTGGCAACAAAGTTCACGCAATTGCCATTTTCATATACGCGGGGCGTTTCGTGACAGCTGCCCGAGCAAGAAACGTTTATGGCGCATTTTACACCTCGACAGGCAGCGCATAGTGATTGCAACGCGCTTAACTATTGTGGCGACTCGACTAAATGATTAGCTTCAACATCATATCATCATCACAATCAACATATGATCATCACTGCATGAACACAATCATGAAATCATCATCATCACCAGCACTATATGATCATCTTCATCTGCTTATAATTTCTCTGAGCCCGTATAACTTCAGTAGATATGTATACGAGGATGGTCTGACCAGTACGCTGCACTCATTAACGCTTCAACTTCTTTAGCGCGCCTGAAAAATAATTTTTCCTGGAGTGCCAATAACTTCCTCATTTGCCTAAAATTTCTACCCGGCCAATGACTTCTGCAAGTTTGGGAATAAAAAGTAGATGTATGTGGTCCCAATATGAAGAGTATGTTGGATGAGGCTGTGGATCGTAGGCTTAATTGACCAATTTGGACGAGACAAAGTGTTAGCAAAAGTGTGAACTCATAGTTAAACATTTTTTCTTCGGCAAATAGGACCGAGTTTCCAACGATCCCACGGCAAATCGGCCCGATAAGTCATCATAGAAGAGCCTTATGACCGTATTGTCTTTCCTCAAGTAGTCGATGCGAATCACACCTTGTGAATCAGGCCGATAGAACAGTCTTCCATTTTCGTCCTTCGTTTCGACCGTCCTCTATTATGTAGTAGATACCAGTGGATCTATGTTTCGTCGATTGTCATGAAACGATGTGGACACTCTTTCCGGATTGTGCGTAAAAATTACGTAAAAAATGCTGTGAATTGGTCCCAAGGTTGGTGTACACGACATCTTCTCTAGTCCAATTCACTGTCATGCATCTATTTGCAGTGCACTTAGTAGTGGTTCACTAAAAATGAAGTTAGACCTTAAAAGTCACTGTATAGAGAGTCCTTTTTTATTGGCGAGGACACCGCTTACGCGGTTACAGACGAGTTCACAACAGCGCGCCAGTTCTGCCTTGGAGATCGATTGGAGATCCCAAGTGTAGCCACGACTTTCTCCACCTGGTCTTTCCAACGGAGTGGAGGTCTTTCTCTTCCTCAGCTTCAACCAGCGGTTACTGCTTTAAATACTCTCAGAGTTGAAATGTTTTCATCCATTCGGACCACATGACTTAGCCAACATAGCCGCTATCTCTTAATTTGTTAAACTATGGCAATTTTGTATATTTCGTTCCATCGAATCTTCCGCAGAACCTTTTTCTCGAGTACTCGTAAAGCTTAGATGTTGTCATAGTCCATGCCTCTGCACCATATAGAAGGACGGGAATAATGAGTGACTTGTAGAGTTTGGTCTTCGTTCACCGAGAAAGGGCTTTGAGAAGAATTCAAGCGCTCTTTAATTTCACTGCGCGATTTCCTTCTAAAGCTATGATAGCTACATCAACCAATATTGCGAATACGCCCACTCTCTCAAGCGATCAAAACAAAACTACTAGTCAGATGCAGCTGATATTTTGAAACATTAGTCTTTATTTATCGCACCTTCCTCGCATATATATATATATCTATTTTTAATTCTTCTCAAAAATATATTTATGTGAATACCCACGAACGTCATCATCATCGCACGGCACGCTCATCGTGTTATTATCGCGCACGTCACAGCTGTGTAGCCACAACCACAGCCAAAGACCAGCTGTAGCAGCGGCAGCAGTCAGTGGTCGCGTTTTAACTGCACGT